CCATAATCCTACTCAATACCTAAACTTAACAACTACCTTACTAACTATTAATAAGCAGCAAATTAGAGGAGTTTACTGAGGCAAAAGTCGTAGTTAATGGTTTTTTAATAGCGAGAATTGGACCTTACTTCTGACTTAAAATAAAGTGTGACCAAAAACAAAACAAAAAAAGAAATTGTGCCTTGGACAGTTAACTGAAATAAGTTTAAGTACTAAAATTATTAAAACTAAAACTGAAATAAAAATAAAGCTAAATAAAAACTAATAAAAATTACAAAAGCTCACAACAATGACTATATCTTAAACTAAAATGAAAAGCTGTGAAAAAAAATAAAAGCTAAACACTGCAATTATATATAAATAATACTAAAATAACACTGGTTCATATTGCTGCAACTGCATATGAATATGATTTTTAGAAACAAAGATGACTGAAATTTGTAGACCAGGGTGGAACAATAAGCTGTTATTTAAATATTAAATATAAAATGGTAATGCTTTAGTATAAGGACCAATTCTCACTATTAACTAGCTGCTTATTAGCATGCCTATTATTAATATATTGGCTGTTTATTAGTACTTATAAAACACATATTCTGCATGACCATATTCTACATCCCTACCCAATATCTAAACTTAACAACTACCCTACTAACTATTAATAAGCAGCAAATTAGGATTTGATTGAAGCTTATAAAACACATATTCTGCATGACCATATTCTACATCCCTACCCAATATCTAAACTTAACAACTACCCTACTAACTATTAATAAGCAGCAAATTAGGAAGCAAAAGGTCGTAGTTAATGGTTTGTTAATAAAGAGAATTGAACCTTAAAATAAAGTTTTTTTTATTTATGGCAAAACATTCGCACGCAGTATATGATCTTTGGTAAATAAAACAATTATTTTCTAAGGTTGAGTCAAAATTTTGCTTTACACGTCTTAATAATATCCTCCAAAGCATTACAATCGATGGTGTTGTAAGCAATGTGTAATGACAACAGAGTTCATGTGGTTCAGAGTAACACTTTTTAATTACAAACCAGTCATTAATACCTTAATGTGCGTTTTCCGTGATCCTTACTGCGTACTAGCTAGTATTTTATCCATTTAGCTGACGAAATCTCTTGCCTTAGGCCACTGTCTGAATGCTTTCACTGCAGTTAATGAAGCTGTGATGTTTGTAATCCATAAACAGTTGACACATCAAACTTAGATTCTGTTTAAATGCGCCATATCATCTGCCATGTTTGCCTCTGTTTCCCCAGGTAGTCTATCTGAATGCTATTCAACAGTCCCACCCTGCTGTCTAATGGAGAAAAGCTGTTTATAAGCACATTAACCAGACTGCACATTCACTCCTTTATGCCAGCCCGCACTGCCTTAACCAGTGAGAACTAATATGTGGGCAGCATTTGCTGAGTGGGCGGTAAACAGTTGGAGTTTATTCAAAGCTACTTATTTAAGCTTGACTGAAAGAACCAAAAATCCTCTTTCAGAGACCTGCGTGTTGTGATCTTCTTGTCAATTCACCGGATACACCTTTTGAAGGCTTAATTAAAAGTCATTACGAAGTCAGAATCTAGACCACGGTGTGTTGTGTGCAGATCAGAAGCATCAGCAATCACAGCAGACTTATCTGAACAATCTTCCTTGGATCTGAGTCAGACCTTGCAGTGGTTGGTCTCCTTTCATCCATTTGATGGTGGAAGCAGGCTTGCTGCCCATGGCGGTGCAGGTTATCTCGGTCTCATTCCCCTCGCTCACGATTTCCTCGCGGGACTCTAAGATTGGGTTGCCTGGTGGAACTGGCAGAAGATCAACGGCAGGATTAGAGATGGTGCGACAGCTCTTCAGCATTGGATCAATGTTTTTTATCTGTGTGCTCGCTAAAGGACAAACTGTTATTTTACTAAGATCTGCCGATGACTATCAAGTACTTCAATTCAGTAATAAAGCGCACTGTGTTGGAAAAGGTGTTGTTTTCCTCAACATTCTATCTGAAAATACCCTATAGTCTATGTTTTGGTTTGGATGCTGGTCTCCAGCATTGATTGCTGGTGTGCCGGTGTCCCCACCATGCATTTTAACAAGCTAAACCAGCAAGACTTCCTTGGTTCCTCGCAAGGTTTCTACCTCAAACCACCTAACCACGTTAGGGGGTTGCCATTGTCACCTGTGGAGTCCTCAATGTGGTTTTGTAAGGTACTATTTTTGCAGAGCTTCTGTGGAACAATATGTGTTGTAAAAAAGTGATACACAAATATATAAACAGAGCTGGGTTGCTTACTTGCAAATTGTAATCCATTATTGATCACATATTACATAATGAAAACTGAAGTTAGTAACGTAATCTAGGTTACTCACTTTAGGTAATGTATTCTGGCTACTTTTTAGACTACTTTTCATCTAACTTGTTTTAAACTTACCATTGAATGTACCATATTGATATAAAAAAGCAAAGAGAAAGAAAATACATTCCATTTTTTTAAATCAACATCATAAAATGCATTACGCATTACATTAAACCAGGGTTTCCCAAACTAGGCTTAATGTAAGAACTGCAGTGACTTTGTGAGTTGATCATTAATTAAACACTAAAAATATAAATATTTAATTTGTTTGACATTATAAAATGTAATATCCTCTAATTACGAGTACTTGATTTTTGGAATCTGATTACGTAACCCAGATTACATGTAATAAATTGCTACTCAGCTCTGTAAATAAATATATAAAATGCTAATTTTTACATTCTCTCATATTGTCACCAAGGCATTTATGTGATCAGAAATGCTGTAAAAAAAAAAAAAAAAAAAAAAAAAAGTAATTTATTCCTGTGGTGCAAAGCTAAATTTTCAGCTTCATTACCCCAGTCTTCAATGTCACATGATCTTTCATAAATGATTGTAATTTGCTGATTAGATGCTTAAAACCATTTCTTATTATTATCATCGAGGTTGAAAACATTTTTCTTCTTAATATTTTGTGAAAACCACTATTCCATTCAAAAATGTGGGGTAAGAAAGAAATGTTACAAAAACTATTTTAAATAAATGTTTTTTGTTTTGTTTTGTTTTTGCATTATCTATTCAAAAAATCTAGAACAAAAGAATCACAGGTTCCAAAAAAATATGCATCGAGCAGCATTACCGTTATTTTAAAATTGAATAATATTTCACAAAATGATTGTTTTCACTGTATTTTTAAATAAATAAATGCATCCTTGTTGAGCATCAGAGACTATCAAAAACATTAATTCTTAAATATTCCAAGCTTTTGGCATCTGTTATGGGAGAAGGGGGTGGAGGGTTGATGAAAAAATTGCCAAAAAGCTGAAAACCATCTACAGCTGGTTTAAGCAGGTTTTCTTCAGCAAGATAACAAGCATAGGTCAAGCTGGTCTTTTGGCTGGTTTTAGTGGGTTTTTGGGCACTTTTCAGCTGGTCAGGACAAAAACAGCCAGCCAGTTGAATGCCATCTTAATCTTGGTCAAGCTGGTCTGCGCTAGTTTTAGAAGGTGTTTGGGTACTTTGGGTTTTGGACCAGCTTCATCAGCTCAATTATGCTGATGAAGAGCAGGCCTAGATTAGCAACAATCCAAATGGTTCCAGCTATCTCTGAATCATTCAGAGGCACATACAGAAGCATTTCTATGTTTTGATGGTCTCATTGTGTATTTGGACAATGCCGGACCCACTCCACCAACTGACAAGCTGTTTTACTCATGTTTCACTTCTTCATAGCGCATTAACTCGTATGGTGCTTTGCTGATGGCACTAAAGCGTCTGTCGCTTACGAGAGCTGTCGTTTGAGGGCTCTTTTTCTAATATCTTGCCTCATGCTTTCATGTCCTGTGGTTAAGAGTCCATGCTGTGATGGAACGCATATCCTCATAAAACTCATGCTACTTTAGAGAGCACTCAATTCCATTCAGCTCTCCAGGATGTCCAAATATGCCGCATAATAAACCTCTAATGTTAGTGTCATTCAACGCAAGAGGCGCACAAAGCTAACTCCCGAATCGCTCGATGTAGCCTTTTCAACATCTAAGAGGAATTCAGTCAATACGCCTGCCAAAAGCGATTACATATACACACAATTATAATGGCATTTCACATTTCAGCATGTAGATTTATTTTTTTAATTAAATTGCAAATATTTTTATTTTTTTTAAGCATCATATTGTTTCACGCTTAAATTAGTTTACTAAAGGCTTTAATTAACAAAAAGTTCATGTCAAGAAATGTTTCAGGTGAAATTTGGCCATTTTGCTTGTTTATTTTTATCCCCACACTAAAATAGTTCCTAACAAAATCAAAAAGTAAAGCTTTTTCACTCTGAACTGCTCACTTTCACTCTGTATATTTCAATGCTTTTGTGTTTTGCAAAGGTTTTGCGTTTCCCTTAGGAAACTTTGCATTTAAATGTAATTTTCATTATCATTTCCCCTTAGGGACTTCCTTATAAAGTAAATGTATAGTATAATGAAATAAAAATTAAAATAATAATAAAATATTTAAATAAAAAAACAATAATGTTTTATATAAAAAATACTTTAAAAAACTTAAATAGAATAGAAAATATACTTAAAGTTTTCGATTTGATCCATATTTAAAACAAAAAAAAAAACTTATGACTTTTCAACATGTTATGTAGCTTTATTTTTTTAATCTATGAATCATAATTTTAAATATTTGATATACTTTTTTAAAAATATAGTATTTAAAAATATTAGATTTTTTAAAGCGTCATATTGTTTAAAGCCCCTTAAAATAGTTTACTGAAGGCTTCAATAAACAGAAAAATTCATATCAAGAAATGTTTCAGTAGAGCTGTTTTGAAAGAAATGTATTTAGTTTGTTTGCCTATTTTTGTCCGTCGCTCTCCAGGATGTCCAAATATGCCGCATAATAAACCTCTAATGTTAGTGTCATTCAACGCAAGAGGCGCACAAAGCTAACTCCCGAATCGCTCGATGTAGCCTTTTCAACATCTAAGAGGAATTCAGTCAATACGCCTGCCAAAAGCGATCTACCCATATCAATAGCGCAACATCTGTTCCTTTTTGTTTGGCTTGTGTTATTGGAAATGGCATGAGAGTAATTGGTTGATATTGTGTCATGGTGAGATTCAATTAGATTTGATCCATATTTAAAACAAAAAAAAAAACTTATGACTTTTCAACATGTTATGTAGCTTTATTTTTTTAATCTATGAATCATAATTTTAAATATTTGATATACTTTTTTAAAAATATAGTATTTAAAAATATTAGATTTTTTAAAGCGTCATATTGTTTAAAGCCCCTTAAAATAGTTTACTGAAGGCTTCAATAAACAGAAAAATTCATATCAAGAAATGTTTCAGTAGAGCTGTTTTGAAAGAAATGTATTTAGTTTGTTTGCCTATTTTTGTCCGTCCAAAGAAAGAAAAAAAAAATCCTAACTAAATCAAACATTTTAACTCCGTATCGCTCACATACTCTGGTCTGGAAAGTTGCAAACACTGTAAAAAAAATTTTTCGAGGTTGTACATAATTATTAAATAATTAGAGTATGTTTTACAAGAAAATACTATTTCAGTCTTTCTACTTTCATGATTTCATGCTTAATTCGATGCATTACTTGCTGTGTCAATGTAATTATTTGTGAAATTTACTAGCAATTTCTGAGTGAAAATTGTACGTACCGCATCGCTCGATGTAGCCTTTTCAACATCTAAGAGGAATTCAGTCAATACGCCTGCCAAAAGCGATCTACCCATATCAATAGCGCAACATCTGTTCCTTTTTGTTTGGCTTGTGTTATTGGAAATGGCATGAGAGTAATTGGTTGATATTGTGTCATGGTGAGATTCAATTAGACAAGTTCAATTGAGTGAAGGAATCAATGAGGTCAATCGATAATCGGGATTTTAGCATTCTGAAGGTAGACGTCATACCCAGCACAGTGATGTCTGCGTAGGCTTCTTGCGGGGGATCCGTGTAGAGCTGGCAAAAAAAAACTTATGACTTTTCAACATGTTATGTAGCTTTATTTTTTTAATCTATGAATCATAATTTTAAATATTTGATATACTTTTTTAAAAATATAGTATTTAAAAATATTAGATTTTTTAAAGCGTCATATTGTTTAAAGCCCCTTAAAATAGTTTACTGAAGGCTTCAATAAACAGAAAAATTCATATCAAGAAATGTTTCAGTAGAGCTGTTTTGAAAGAAATGTATTTAGTTTGTTTGCCTATTTTTGTCCGTCCAAAGAAAGAAAAAAAAAATCCTAACAAAATCAAACATTTTAACTCCGTATCGCTCACATACTCTGGTCTGGAAAGTTGCAAACACTGTAAAAAAATTTTTTCGAGGTTGTACATAATTATTAAATTATTAGAGTATGTTTTACAAGAACTCGATGTAGCCTTTTCAACATCTAAGAGGAATTCAGTCAATACGCCTGCCAAAAGCGATCTACCCATATCAATAGCGCAACATCTGTTCCTTTTTGTTTGGCTTGTGTTATTGGAAATGGCATGAGAGTAATTGGTTGATATTGTGTCATGGTGAGATTCAATTAGACAAGTTCAATTGAGTGAAGGAATCAATGAGGTCAATCGATAATCGGGATTTTAGCATTCTGAAGGTAGACGTCATACCCAGCACAGTGATGTCTGCGTAGGCTTCTTGCGGGGGATCCGTGTAGAGCTGGCACACGTACCGTCCCTCGTCCGAGAGTGACACGTTGGACAACGACACCAGCAGCTCGTTGTCTGAGAAGTTAACCAGCTGAAACCGACTGTCCTTCAAGGCTGAGAAAACATAAAGAGTGAGGCATACAGACGTGGATGAGTAGGAAGTAGACAAATCAGTCGTGAGTGTGATACAGTATAACAATAGCTCAATAAACAAGAAGTTCACATTGAGAAATGTATAAGATTAAATTTGGCCGGTTTGTCTTCTTTTATCCACCCACTAAAATAGCTCCTAACATAATCAAAATGTTAAGCTTTTTCACTCTGAACTGCTCACTTTCACTCGGTATATTTCAATGCTTTCGGGTTTTGCAAAGGTTTTGCGTTTCCCTTGAGAAACTTTGTGTTTAAATGTAATTTTCCTCTCATCTCAATTTTTTTTCCATCACAATTTCCCCTTAGGGACTTATATAAAGCAACAGAGCAAAAGTAATGCTATACAGTTAAAGTTGCAAACACTGTAAAAAAAATTTTTCGAGGTTGTACATAATTATTAAATAATTAGAGTATGTTTTACAAGAAAATACTATTTCAGTCTTTCTACTTTCATGATTTCATGCTTAATTCGATGCATTACTTGCTGTGTCAATGTAATTATTTGTGAAATTTACTAGCAATTTCTGAGTGAAAATTGTTTTTTTAAGTACAGTTCAAGTTTGAATAGAAGAACTTTTGGAACTCCACTCAGCCAATCAGATTAGAAGATCAGAACTAACTATATAATACTATATCCTGAAGTTCTGGAGAGTTTCATTTAAATTAGCGAACTCAAAAACCACGCTCAAAGTTCAAGAAGTCAAAGCTCTAATTGAGCAACTCCATCAGAAGTTTAAGACCTTTGATGGTGCATTTTAAGAACCTCCTCTTAATCCCAACCCTGAACCTGGGAAGCATTTGTAAGTCTCCTTCCTAAGAATAATGATGAGGCCAGCTTGTTTTGAGCAGAAAGACGGTGGGCAGGGAATGAAAGGCCTGATTTTCTTAGTGCTCGGACTGAATTGCAATTGATATGGAGAGTTTATGCACTATGCATCAAACAGATCTATGACTTCAGATTTAAGGTAATGCCGGAGGACTGTAATTTTTCTACATCAGTATACAGTACGTCTGTAGAAGTGCTGCAGAAGTCTGGGAGAATATGAAGGATATAAATCTCTGCAAAGCAAACCTGCGCATGAACGGGGTTCATTAGAGTGCATTATAAATTCTAAAGCATCAGAGTCCGTAAGAGGTTGACAGTGAGTGAATCTGATTGTTCTGTGTCCCAGCTGGCTCGAGATGCTCTTCAGCTGTCCTAGTCTGCTATCTCAAATTGACACACAGATTGGAGAATGAAAAGAGAAGGGGCACAGGAAATTACATGTAGCATGTTAGATGAAACAAATACAAATTGGATCGCCTTGCAAAACAGCATATATCTTCTTGTATTGATGATAATGCAATGGGTAGAACATATTGTCTGTAATAAGCGTGTATGGCCACGTTCTGCTGTCTTCTAGACAATTTTTTTTTCTGTTTTAGGAAAGGAATGTACTGTAAATACCACATTGTTTTTGTGACATTGTCAGCAATATCTAAATAAGCACAATTAAAGTTGCAGAGCCCATAAAGGAACATGGTGACAGAAAAAAAAAATGAAAGGGAAGGAAAAATCATATTTCAGTGTTTTTTGTGTTTCACAAAACTTGTGTGTTTTCCCTAAAAAACACTGCGTTTGCATTTAAATTAAATTTTCTTCCCATCTCATATTTTTTTCCATCACCATGTCCCCTTAGGGGCTCATTATATAGCAAATTTATAGTTTAAAAATGTTTTATTAAAAAAAATAAATAAATAGTGTTCCATTTTATCCATATATAAAAAACAATTATGCTTTTCAACTTATTTTATGCAGATTTTTTAATTCATTAATCAAATTTGAAAATATTTGATACATTATATTTAGACTATACATATTTTTTATAATCGGTGTATGTGAGTGGGTTTTAATTGCCATGTTTCAGGCCCTTTCAAAAAAGTTCTCCTGGTGTAAAAAGTCTCTTTTATTTTCTTCTAAAACACTACATGGAAACAACAAGAAGAACAACAAACATAAATAAAAACTCAAATAAATAAATAAAACACTACAGTGCTTTGTAGTACTGCAACAAATAGCTTGAGAAGATGTGCAAAGTGGAACCATATTGACTTCTGCAGTCAGAATTGGGCTTTATGTTACTTGTAAAATTTACTTGAACTAGTTGTATTGCATCTGTTAGATGCACGTAATCCATTTACTAATAGCAGAACAATACAAACGTGGTTATAAACTATATAAAATATTATAAAGTGCCAAATATGATTTAAATAAATGAGAAATGGGACAAGTTGCATCCCAAGGTTCTTTAATATTTAGGGGAAAAAATCATAAAAAAACACATTTTCCTTTAGGTGAGACCTGTTGTACCCTAATAATGAAGTCATGAAATTTTAATGCCTGCAATGTGGGTTACATTTTACCCAAAGATCCCAAGTGAATGAAATTTCCTAGGAGAACAGGAGAATAACAGTATGCTATACGTACAGTAGACGCTATAACACGACACTGAAACAGTCGGCATCCTCTTGGCATTAATCGCATTATAATTTAGTTCACTTGAGTGTACTGAAAAGGAAGTTCACAAAAAAAAAGTGACAAAAATATCTTTGAGCGGGGAAATGTAATTTGTAGCGAATATCATTAAGTCTTGAGAAAATGAAAATGACAGTTTCTCCGACCATCACTGTTAAAGTCACTGTTTAATTCTAAGTTGCTCTTAAAAGGCTTATAGAGCAGCTCTAGCGTAAGTGACAGGAAATGAGAATAGCGGTCTGAATGTAATGTGATAAAACCTTAGCCATCGCTAATATATAATATATATATAATATAATGCTAATATATAACGAAGCGCACAGTGCAATATATCATCGGCCGGCATCCACAGGTGCATGCTATATGCGCTAAGACACATTCACATTCTTGTGTCATTTCGAATGCACAGTGCCAGCCATCTGTGCTGAAGGGATAAAACTATGAATTGTTCAAGTGGTCATACTTTTCACAAACAGAGCTGGCAGCCCAGTAAACATTAGACAGAATAATACATTACAGCATTAAAGAGATTGAAGGCTCCAGTCACATCCATAGAAATAATGTCAGAGCTTGAGGCGAGAATGCTCACTCTCCCTCTTTTTCTGTCTATCTTCCTCCCCTAAACCCCAACCCATATCCTGCCTTTCCCTCTCGCAGAACGCGCCGATCGGAAAGCTTACGTCGGTTGTAACTGGCGCTAAAATACGCCCATTAGGAGAATTAGGTACCACCAGCACATTAATTAAAGTCATGACAAAATCCCAACCTGACCTTTCATCAATGTGTTCGAACGCTGAGACGAGTGAGCGAGCGGAATTATAATGCAACGTAAATGTGTTTCTAACTCCAACATTCAATCACTGTGTTTCTTTGAAGAAAGGGGGTGTAAAAATAACCCAGTTTCCCCCGAAGCTATGAAATCTTGGCCGAAAGGTTGAGTAGAACTGGAAAAAAGCGTTACCGACATATGGCCGTGCATAAATAAAGAACAAGCATTAATCCCAATAGCAACCGAGAACATAAAACGTCTGTTTTCACAAAGTGCGACGCTGTTATCAGAGTATTACTTCAACATTTACTTGTCAAGAGGAACAAGACGTCTACAAATACTTCAAACGTCCTTCGATATTTACTCAAACTGCAGGATACGGGATCCCGTGGAGAGACAGGCCAGCAGTACGTGTAAATTGCATTTGAAATGTCATGGAATACCTCTGAAAACGTTGATCTGCACATGCATCTTAGATTACCTCAGGAGCGATTCGTATGGAGAACTCTTCAGAGGAGGGTTTGAGGAGGTTATTCGCACACATTAGCTAAACTAGGTTCGGATCACGGGTCAGACCGTCACTTAGCAGCTCATCAAGGCCCTTATTTAGCAGGGAAGGCAAGATTATATGCTTTGCATGCAGAGCGCCGTTGAGCTTCTAAACAATCTCAAGGCTAGAATCTAAAGGTCCGCTCAGAGGACTCTAATCAGCCTGACACAATTACACTCTGTCACTCAATTATTGAAAAGGACCTTGTCAACAATGCAATGCCTTGATAGGAGACGCGCTTGGTTATGCCGAGGTGTCGAATTATGAATTTGCATGGGGTTGCAGGGCCATTTTGCTGCGTAAAATCGGAATGTTCTGCAAAAAACAATGCGGGCTTTGGGCGGATTATGACATTTTCTGCCGTGAACATGAAAGAGAAGTCAGTACTGCTTACGTCTAACGTCTCTGAAGTAGATGGTCTGTCGGTTGGGGTTGAGCAGCTGGATGACGGAGTCGTCGTTGTTTTTCACCCGGCAGCTGATGATGGCTGTCTCGCCCTCGACCACCGAGACATTATTCGTCACGAGGTTCTGACCCTGCGCTGTAACACACAGAAAACACATACAAGACTTACAATACAGAGCAACAGATGTACGAATCCCATTCATTTTCATCATATGGAATAACATGAAAACCTTTCGAGAAAGATGCTTTGAAATGGTTGAGCGATGACGAAAGTCTGTGTGATTTAGACTTTTTAGATTGTTTTTTTTTAAAAACCAACCAGATTCCTGATGAAGGACTACACTACCCATAATCCTGGAAAGAAATCCACCAATCAGAAAAGACACTGTTACTTTGGAAACAATAATAGTGGCAGATATGATCAGCAAAGACTTCTCATTGCAAATGAAATAATTAGTCCCTGTACACACAAAACACAATAAAATTTGACATTAAATGTGATATTGATATATTGAAAGTATATTTTATTATTATATTTAATATATTTTTATATTTTATAAAATAATTAAATAAAAATAATTTTTTGCTTATAAAATACAGTATATTTGAGATTTATTGCGTACATAAATTGATTAATTTTAGTGCTGTCAAATGATTAATTGTGATTAATTGCATACAAAAGAAAAGTTTTTTTAACATAATATTTGTGAGTGTTCTGTTTATATTTATTATGTATATATAAATACACACACACATACAGTATATATTTTAAATATATTTACATGTATTTACATGTCTATATTTATATTCATATAATCTATATTATATATAAATATACTGCTTGTATATATACATATGTACACAAACACTTTTATTTTGGATGCGATTAATCGTGATTAATGATTTGACAGCACTAATTAATTTGAAATATATATATATATATATATACACACATTTATAAATATATATTAGATTTTTTAAATAGTTATATTTAATAACTATATAACTATAAATAAATTTGAGTTCTACTGTGTACTTGATGATAACTAGCACATTTTTTATTTTACTACATAATAATTTGAAATGGTTTAAAAAAAGTTTAAGTATACAGTCTCATACGTTTTACCTTCAATTTTAATATACTTATTAGCTTAAAATTCATGTTTGCCATTCTGTGATTCATCTCAAAGGCCACTGCTTTGGTTCATTGCTTTTTTATTGCAGAACTTTTGAAATCCTCAGAAAATGAATAAAAAAAAATCCACTTCTGGAGCCAAGGCCTCTAAAAAAGTGAGCATCACTGCCATACCTGAATAAGGTTATTACATTTGGCATGTCTTATCACAATCTGGATTGTAATTACAATGCATCCACTGAACACAATTTTTCTCATTTGGCTGTTGCCTTGCTATTCAGTCAGAGAGGCAATCATGACACTCTTTCTTTAAGCACAAAAAACCCTGAAAATACTATTACAATTCAGATCCTGTTTCATTCTGCTCTGGTATCATGAAATTGTAAAAGTTGAGGCTGAAGCCGAATAGATGACTGCCATGATAATGCGAATCCTCATGAGGAATCCTTTGAATACTGATGTTTTTGCATAACACGTGCATACATTTGCAGGGCGTGAAAGAAACTAAGAGTGACGTGCAAATAAATGTAACAAGCAACAACGTTTGGAGAAGCATGTAGACGTCAAGCAGACGCGCGATGTTAAGATGTAGCGGCTGGGTTCTCGGTTTGGACGTATTGATTTTACAGCGTTGTGTGTTTGTGGTGTGTGTGGAACACCCTGGCTACAAGACTGCAGCTCTCAGCAACCGAGAGGGGAAGGCTGGTAATTGCTGCTCACGGCAGAACTTTATCAAACCTCTCCATCTAAACACAAGCTGATGGAAGCTGGCAATCAACAGCGGCTCTCAACAGCATAATACCCAGACCCGAAGCTCTGCAAACACACAGGTAAGCACAAAGTATCTGATACACTTCACTGCAAGCCAGTAACAGCTGATAATTAGAGGCTGCATCACTCCCTTATGGTTTACATTCAAAATGGGGATCCATTATACCTTGCAGGTGAAGACAGCAGAAAAGCAAAAGTCACCTTGCTGTATATTTATATCCACAGAGCTGAGAGGCATAAAAAATGACCAAAGAATGCTTTTAAACACTTCATCCTCGCACGCAGAGTAAAACACTACTTTTAGCGCCGCCGTGAGACAACACCCGATGCAAATTTGTATGGTTGAGCAATCAGACTCCTTCAAGCACTCATGACATTTACAGAGACTTAAAAAACATCTTAATTTCCCCACTACAACTGTGTCCAGCTCAGCCTCTTTTGTCCCAGTCAAGAACAACAAATCGGCGTGGAGAAACAACACATTTAGCTTGTCCTCCCGAGTTGTGAACGTTAGGGATGATAAAGCATCGTCCACTCCATGAAGGAGCATTAGCAGACAGGCATGCTGGGAGTGTTTTTGAGACCACAGAGGTGCTGTGCTGCCACAATCTGCGGCCATGGCAGACGCTAAACATCCGTGAAGCCAGGTTTCACGCTGCCGCAATCACGCCAAACAAAAGAAAGGAAAAAGCACTAGCTGGAAGGCCTTGCCGGAACTGAAAAGGCTCATAAGAAAGAGTTGCAGCGCATGTACGTCGAGGAAATGTCACTTTAAATTCAGCTGTTTTTGAAATGTTATGAAGCTGTGCCACATTAGCATAAGGTCATAAGTGATATTAGACTCTGGAAATGCATAATTTAGAAGGTTTTACAGATTGATGCTGGAATGTCTGTAAGTGAGCCCCAAAAAAGTATTTGGACAATTAATGGGACAGTTTATTTAAGAATTAACATTCTGTCATCATTTACTCACCATCATGTAGTTCTAAACCTGTATGACTTTTTTCTTTATCTTCTTTTCTTTTTACAGTTACTTTCAACCTACTAGTCTCAAGGTGGTTTTTAGTGAATGTATGTTTTTTTGTTGATGTTGTTGTTTTTGAAAAAAGGCTTTTATGCTCACCAAGTCTGCATTGATTTAATCAAACATATAGTAAAAACAGTAATATTGCGAAATATTATAACAATTTAAATATATAAGGGTTTTCTATACTGATATATTTTAAAATGTAATGTATTCCTTTAGTGTCACTTATTATCAATGTTAAAAAAGGATGCTTAACGTTTTTGTGGGAACTGTAATCCTGTTTTTTAGGACACTTTAATGAACAGAAAGTTCAAATCAAGAGCATTTATTTGAAATAGAAATCTTTTGTAACATTATTAATGTCTTTCACTTTTTAAAATAATTTAAATACTTGCTGAATAAAAGATTATTTTGTTTTATTTTATTTTATTTTAAATCTTACCCAAAATAGTAGTGTATCATGGTTTCCACAAAAATTTTATGCAGAAAATACGGTTTAATATAATATTGAATGTTTCATGAGCAGCAAATTAGAATATTTTCTGAAGGATCATGTGACACTGAAAACTGGAGTAATGACTGCTGAACACAGGAATAAATGACATTTTAAAATCAGTTACTGCATTTGTATTGTATTGTATTGTTTGTGATTGTACTGTATGATTTGATCAAATAAATGCAGCATTGGTGAGCATAAGAGAATTTAGGTGGACTTTGTGGTTGTCAAATATCCATAGATGAACTGCACTTGTGCTTCCTCTTCTAGCACCTCTGACAAATACTGACTTTATACATTCACTAAAAATCACCTTTAGACTAGTAGGTGTAAAAATCACAGCAAAAACAAAAGTTGTAAGAAATATTCCAGCATCATTTGATATTTTCTATATGGTCGACTTTCATACATTTTTAAGTGTCCAAAAATGACAAACTTTTTGTTTTGTACTTCAACTTTAAAAGCCAAAAAACGATTACACACACACACACACACACACACACACTAATATTGCCAACTCACTGTCCGTGTTAAAAAAAACTAAGCTAAACTACAGTATGCCATAACAAAGAAGCTCTGAGGAACCTGTAGGTGAACATGACAGATAGACGGCAGTCACACGAGCGTGTTTTATCTTTGCAATTGCAGTCTACCTCATCTACAATGTCACCTCAAGCAAGCCAAAATGTGATTGGCTAAAAGACTGATTGTGATTTAACTCATTCATTTAGCCTTCAAGGCCGTGACAGTCTGGTTCAGTTCTGCCCCATAACCCCACCAAGGTGTCCATCCCTCACGTTTACAACGAGCTCTATCTCTGACCTCCCCTCAACAACACTTATTATATGATTACTCCTTAAAACCAAGCGCTTTTCTATCTAAACACCATAGGTAGGTAGCTCACTAGATTTTGGCACACAGCCATATACATGAATGGAAAGTAAATGCTCTTTATTACGAATAAGCTATATAGAAGGTGCTCGGAGGATTGGAGCACTCTACAGGTTGAGTCACATGACTCGGAAATGTAATTAACTTATGTGAAGTTTCATGATAATAGCATATCTTTCATTCTCAAAGCCTTTTTAAGAACAGATCCCATGGGTAATATTCGCATTTCCTGAAGCGAGAACTTCTCAAGGTTGATGCGCATGAAAAGGTACTCTGGGAATATGCTTTATTAATTTTATATTATATTAGTATTATTAATTATTATATATGCATTTTAATGTGAGAGTTGGCTTAATAATTCATTTAAAGAAGCAATTTTTAGAAGGTTATTAATGGCTTCTTCACTTCAAATATTCATTTTCATTTGCACTTCCAAGTCATGGCTGCTTGCCAACAGGTTGACGTGAAACTGTCTAAAAACAGACGATGGAACGCAGTTGTTAGGCAAACATAAACCTGTCCAACAGCTGTTTAGACAGCATCCTTTCCTGTCAGCCAGAGAAATTGAGTGCAACTGCGAAAGGAAATAGCTACTTTTCTGTTGAATGCACAACTTTACCATCTCAGACGTACCTATTCACAAGCACGCGGTAGGGTTGAACTATGCCCCTGTTAAAGGAAGTTTTGAACTGGCTTTGTCAGAATGGCATAGGCATGAAAGAATTACTGATTCATTGACTGCAGAGTGTGGAGGCGTGCAAGTGCAGTAGTGAACGTCTTTGTATTGTGAAGAAGTCATCTGAAATAGATTACACG